AAATCTACTTCTGTCGAGAAAGTTTCACCCAAGCCGAAACCGACTCAAAAGGAGTACAACGCGGAGTACTACCAATTGTGCAAAAAATATAAGAACTTGCACATGCTTCGTCATTATCCCGACGTGTGTCGCGCAGAGCTGGAAAAACTCTTGGTCGAAGCGTCGAAAGAGTTTCTAAATAAGTAACGCACAAAATTGAAATTTGTTTAAACAAATTTCAATCACTATAAAAAAAGTCATGGCGGACAGAGGTCGAGGTAATACGAGAAACAATGGTGGCAATCGCAATCGAGGTCAAGGTAATACGAGAAACAATGGTGGCAATCGCAATCGAGGTCAAGGTAATACGAGAAACAATCCCATTCTTAATGATCCGATCTCTGCTCGAGTGCTTGAAATTTTAGAGCAACGCCGGGCGGATGAGATCCAAATGGCTCAGCTTGATTCGATGACGAACGAACAACTGGAGGCGCTTTTTGTTCGACGCAATGGACGCCCAGTTCCAGCTCCACCGCGTCCAGCCCAACGCCCGGCACCAGTTCCCCAACCAGCGCCACCGCGTCCAGCTCCACTGCGTCCAGCTCAAAGACCGGCGCCAGTTCCTCAACCGGTCGTTCCGCCACCAGTTGTTCGTCAGCATCGATCCAGGGCTCCCGCTCCAGCTCCGGCTCCGACCGCGGAAGCGTGGCGAACTCCAGTGGCCGTCACTCCGATGCGAGAGGCAACTCGGTACATGTATCGTGGCGTTCCTCGAACTGTGGATGGGGTTACCGCGGTGTTGCAAAGTCTCGTCCGACAATTCCCGGCCAACCATCCGCACAAGATCAACCCGCGTGGTGATATTGAAACTTTTTCCGGCGAGATGAGTTCGATGTTCAACACACTGAATGGGTTTGCCCGCAATTTCCGCCAAAATTCCAGCCCCGAATCGATCCGAGCGTTTGTTCAAGAATGGTTTGCTGACATTGAGCGCCAAATCCTCAATGTGGGTCGCAATTCGGACGCGGAAGTCATTTTCGCGGAAGAGCTGACTATCAATTTCGAAGTCGTCCCACTGCGCCCCGATCGTGCGTCCGGCACTCTAAAGTCGAACAA